TTTGTATTGAAACATAGAAACTATCCTGGTATTCTCTGCATTATGAGGGTATCCCATTTATTACGTAATATTATATTATATATAATACATCACAATGGTTTGGATGTGTCTTGTGCTTCCTCAAGTGCATATAGAATAGAGGACCTGTCCCCTGTGTAAAAAAAATGACAAGAACAAATGTAATCTAATAAAATTGCTAGGTATGGAAATGCAACACCAAAGCATTTTACACTATGCTTGTCTTTTAACCCAGCAGGCTTATAAATCAATTATCATTTTTACATAAAGTTACATAGTTGATAAAGTTGAAAAGACACAGGCCCATCCAGTTCAATGTGTATATGTGTATGTGTGTGAATTTGAGTCTCTAAGAATTCCTATACCCCTGTATATTATGCTCACAGAGGAAGACATCTAAACGTTTTTCAACCTTCTCAGCTAATACCACTTCCTGGGGAAGGGAGTTACCAATTTTCACTGTTCCAGCACCCTCCAGGGTGTCATTCATTCCTAAAGTAAAGAGAGATCGCACAGGCACCTCAACTACCCCAAAATGGTGCTTATTGAATCTGTTGCCAATTGTGCATATGCAGCAATACAACTTTAATTTCCTGGCTTTTGGCTATGGACTCCAGCAGTGTCATTTTGGGGTGACTGAGGCGCCCATGAAGTGTAATGTTTACACTGCAGCCCTTTGCAGCCAGGGACATCCTGAGGACATGCTGAATGAGAATGTGATTCATCTGAAGGGTAAAATACCACTACTTTCTAGTGTTACTTACTCCTACCTTGCACTCCATGTGATACTTACCCTTAAAGTGTTACTAAGCCAACAGCAGTAAAATCAGTCTGCATATGCAGTAAAACATGCTTGTTATACTCACTGTGGAACCTAAGGGGTTAATCCTCTGCATTGTGTAAAAATGAAGTTTGATCCTGACTTCTCTGATCCTCCCCTTCTTCTAGTGACCCCCTCTTATGTCCTGATAAGACATATGGTGTGTAGATACTCTGCACATGCTCAGTTTGGTGTGTATTGCTCAGTTTGTTTGTTTTTCTTGTGAGAGTGCCTGTGATCAGCACAGGGCCAATCAGCACTGTCCAGACATAGGTCATGGGTTCTGCATCCTCCTAGAGCAGAAAGAAAACTCATCATACAAGCTTTGCTCTGCAGGACACAGATAGAAGCAACAAGAATGCTCTAACTGCGGATGAGAAAAGGTAGTTAGAAGTTTATATTTACTAAAATAATTGCATTTCCATGTTCTGTGTACTGTGTGAGACCAGATATAGAGAATGCAGGGTCCTGGACATAGTAACACTTTAACATCTGCTCTCCAGACAATACTTACTCCTGACCCTTGCCCGCTGTACATTGCTTATTTCTCATCTCTGCACTCTGTGTTATTTACTTCTGCACTTTGTGCATCACTTACCCCTGGCCTCTGCACTCTTTGTGTTACTTTCTCCTCAACTCTTATCATATGGTGTTTCACTATGCTAGATTTTGCTAAATTACTGTTGAATGCAGTGTAATAGGCTACATATTGTTGAGTACTCCCCTTGTGATTCCTTTGTTCTTTTTTTTTTTTTTTGGGGGGGGGGGTTTATAATGTTCTTTTATTACACATTTGTTTTGTTATTTTCTTGTACTTAAAAAACGGATTGGGTTTAGTGTTTCAGGATTTTCTTTTTAAGAGTGGGGTGTGTTTTGTTTTACTATTTTATTTTTATTGCTTTAATTTCCAACACATGTAGGTATCCCCTTTATCAGGAGCATCTAGCACTCCTGCTCCATCACTGCTGCTGGTTACATTCCAGCATCCTGGTTTCACTGTGATACATTTTCCCTGTCTGGCTGTCCATCTGCAAGGTGATTGATGTGGCCAGTCTCTGGGTGGAGACCAAACCTGATTCAAGTCAGCCAAGCCTGCAGTCTCATTGTCAGGAATGGACTCACCTGCCTTGTGGGCTGCAGTACCAAGGCTGGCCAGCAGGTGCTCTCAGCAGCCAGAATCTCACTCCTGAAATCAGGCCATCACCTGGGGCTGATTGCGGGAGGTGTATTTAGGCAGGACCAGGCCTGTGATCAGTGCCTTGGTGTATGTTTCCCATGAGCCCCTGTACCTGCATCCTGTCTGCTTCCTGCCTGATCCTACTTTGATCCTGACTCTGAACAAACTCCGCCTGTCCTGACCTCGGCTATTCCTGACCACTCTTCCGCTCGCTCCTGGCACCCTGTTTGCTAGTTAGCTACCAACCCGGCCCGCCTGACTACATTGTGCTCCATATATATATATACATATATATATATATATCAGTTTAGGTTTGGGTTTGTTTTACCTTGTTGTATGTATTTGTGTTAGTTTTGGGTTTGGTTTGTTGCACTGCGTTTATGTTTGCGTTGTCCTTAATTTACATACCAAAAATGATACCCCAAAATACATTCTGCTACTCCTCCTGAGTATGAAGATACCACGTGTGTAAGACTTTTCCACAGCCTGGCCACATACAGAGGTGGCCGCATACAGAGGCCCAACATTCAAGTAGCACCTACAGGCGTTCTAGAGGCATAAATTATAAATCTCATTTCCTTACTATCTATCACATTTTTGAAGGCCCTGCAGCACCAGGACAATGGAATTACCCACAAAATGACCCCATTTTGGAAAGCAAACACCCCAGTGTATATTCTATGAAGCATAACGAGTCTTGAACATGTAATTTTTTTCAACGCGTTTTCGGAAAATGTGGAAAGAAAACGAAAATGTATTTTTTACACAAAGTTATCTATTTATAAGATATTGCTATCACTGGCTGCTGTGAGAGATGTGGATCACAGATGTGGATCACTGGTACTGTGACAGATGTGGATCACTGGCACTGTGACAGATGTGGATCATTGGCACTGTGACAGATGTGGATCACAGATGTGGATCACAGGTACTGTGACAGATGTGGATCATGGGTACTGTGACAGATGTGGATCACTGGCATTGTGACAGATGTGGATCATAGATGTGTATCATGGGTACTGTGACAGATGTGGATCACTGGCACTGTGACAGATGTGGATCATTGGCACTGTGACAGATGTGGATTACAGATGTGGATCACGGGTACTGTGACAGATGTGGATCACAGATGTGGATCACAGGTACTGTGACAGATGTGGATCATGGGTACTGTGACAGATGTGGATCACTGGCATTGTGACAGATGTGGATCATAGATGTGTATCATGGGTACTGTGACAGATGTGGATCACTGGCACTGTGACAGATGTGGATCATTGGCACTGTGACAGATGTGGATTACAGATGTGGATCACGGGTCCTGTGACAGATGTGGATCATGGGCACTGTGACAGATGTGGATCATAGATGTGGATCACGGGTACTGTGACAGATGTGGATCGCTGGCACTGTGACAGATGTGGATCATTGGCACTGTGACAGATGTGGATTACAGATGTGGATCACGGGTACTGTGACAGATGTGGATCATGGGTACTGTGACAGATGTGGATCACTGGCACTGTGACAGATGTGGATCATAGATGTGGATCACGGGTACTGTGACAGATGTGGATCACTGGCACTGTGACAGATATGGATCACACATGTAGATCACTGGCACTGTGACAATGTGGATCACAGATGTGGATCACAGGTACTGTGACAGATGTGGATCACTGGCACTGGCACTGTGACAGATGTGGATCATTGGCACTGTGACAGATGTGGATCACAGATGTGGATCACAGGTACTGTGACAGATGTGGATCATGGGTACTGTGACAGATGTGGATCACTGGCATTGTGACAGATGTGGATCATAGATGTGTATCATGGGTACTGTGACAGATGTGGATCACTGGCACTGTGACAGATGTGGATCATTGGCACTGTGACAGATGTGGATTACAGATGTGGATCACGGGTACTGTGACAGATGTGGATCATGGGTACTGTGACAGATGTGGATCACTGGCACTGTGACAGATGTGGATCATAGATGTGGATCACGGGTACTGTGACAGATGTGGATCACTGGCACTGTGACAGATATGGATCACAGATATAGATCACTGGCACTGTGACAATGTGGATCACAGATGTGGATCACAGGTACTGTGACAGATGTGGATCACTGGCACTGTGACAGATATGGATCACAGATGTGGATCACTGGCACTGTGACAATGTGGATCAACGATGTGGATCCCGGATACTGTGACAGATGTGGATCACAGGTACGGTGACAGATGTGGATCACAGGTACGGTGACAGATGTGGATCATGGGTACTGTGACAGATGTAGATCACTGGCACTGTGACAATGTGGATCACAGATGTGGATCACGGGTACTGTGACAGATGTGGATCACAGGTATGGTGACAGATGTGGAGCACAGGTACGGTGACAGATGTGGATCATGGGTACTGTGACAGATGTGGATCACATATGTGATCACTGGTACTGTGACAGGGTGATTTGTAACTAACAGATCGGCTCTGCTTCTTTTCACTAGCAGCCTCTGTGTGCGGAGAGGTAGAGCTGTTCAACTGAATGGAGGTTTTGTTGACATCACATGATGGCTGTGATTGGACACAGCCGTCAGGTGATCAGAAGGGCCAATCAGAGAGCCCTTCTGCCGAGAGGTGTTGCGCTGTGTCCAGGGGACACAGGCAAACTGAAAGCATGCACCCATGTTCTGAAGGACTTTCAGTAATGTCCACTCAGAACGGCGAAGCTCCCACCTGGCCGTATATGTGCAGTGTCCAGGTGGGAAGCAGTTAAACATACCCAGTAAAAAAATTAAAAAAATCAAATTTCATCATAAATTTAGGCCAAAATGTATTCTGCTACATGTCTTAGTCAAAAAAAATCCCAATACATGTCAATTAATTGGTTTTAGGTGAAAGTTATAGTGTTTACAAATATAGATACTGTATAGATAATGGATTTTTTTATTTTTTTACTAGTAATGGCTCCGATCAGAAACTTATAGCAGGACTGCTGCGGGCATTCTAAAACTGGGGGGAACTGATTTGGTGTCACTGACATTCCCAGTGGCACCAATACAGTGATCAGTGCTAATAAAAAGCACTGACACTGTACTAATAGCAACTGGGCAAGAAGGGGTTAACATGTGGGTTTCCCAGTGATACCAATACAGTGATCAGTGCTAATAAAAAGCACTGACACTGTACTAATAGCACTGGGCAAGAAGGGGTTAACTGTGTGCTGTTTTACTATGTGGGCTGTGTCTGTGTTTCACTGTAAGCACCCTGCTTTGTATGACTCTGCTATGCAGAGCCATACAAAGAAGTGTGCAGGAGCTGACAGGGGAGAAATCTGTATTGTTTACATACAGGTCTCTCCCACGTCGGAGATACTCGGCGATCACCAGGTGACAGCGAGTAATTACCGGTTGGGACCCGGTGGTTGACAGCCGAGACCACTAATGGCGGCTCGCTCATGCCCCGTACCTAGAACTGCAAAATCACCTATATATACATTATTTTGCGCACCCCTGCTGCCCTGTAGCAGTATTTCTGCTATAGGGTGGAGGGGAAGTAGTTAAATTTCCTATAGCTTTTAGATCTGTTGCCGTTGCTGCTTTCACCGTTCAGTTTAGGCCTATTGCTGCTGGATAAAAATATGCTATTGCAGCAAAAACTACTCAAGAAAGGCTTTTTTTCTCAAATGAAATGAATGAGATTGGGGTGCTGCTGTACTATTATGCCAAGCTAAATGTAAAAGTGAAAGAAATTACACATATTGCTGAAAATCAGAAAATCTGCAACACCACATACAGCTTAAAGACATGTCCCGAACATGTAATTGAACCTTTTCGCTGACTTGTCCATACAGTGTACAGACCTTCAGAACCGCCTCCATCTGGCCAAATCAATACACCATATTGACATGGCATTCCTCCTTCTGCTGTTCTCCTTCAGTGACCAAGAGCTTATAGCAGAGCTATTTAGCAGACTGTGCTAAACAAGCCGATAGCTGTGATCTGTGGCTGACAAGCTGCTGTTCCTAGCTATTTACCTAAAATGTGATCTCTTCCCATCACTGTTGCTGCTGCTCTGGTTTCCCTGCTGCTCTGTCATCTCTCTGCCCCCTTTATAAATGCCCCCCCACCACTCTTATTTCCCCTCTTCTACTCTGTTCAACCCCTTTACCTCTGAACCTCCCCAGTACCAATCATCCCTATTCCCCTGTTACTCTCCTGCTGCACTACTGACCTCTCCCTCTCTCCCTCTCGCTGCTTTCAGCTGCTGCAGGGGGAACGACAGGAGGATCAGAATCTGAAGAAAGATTCTCCCCTCCGCTTCAATCCTCCCATCCTGGTGGCCCCCCAGTACTGGTCCCCTTGGTGTCCCTGCTAGACAGCTTGCCTCCTCCCCCTCCTGCTGGCTGCCAGCTACTGCTGGGGCATTGAGATTATTCAGGATGGAAATCAGGAAGGAGGGGAGATCAGGCATGTCATGTTTACCAGTCCCTTCCTGAATGATGAGCAATTGGTACCAATCACTGCTGCTTCTTCATCACTGAAGCATAGTAAACTGTATTGGTTTCGTGTTCACTCGCAGTGCAGCTGAGGCCTCAGAGAAAGGGAATGAGGACTCTATGTCCTCAGTTCCTTTCTCTGTCTCATTTTTAATAAACATTTGTGCAATTATTCTACAGGCCATATGCTTTCAGAAAATGTAATGTTTGGGGGATTTTTTTAAAAATTCTGAAAGCTGTAAGTGAAAAGTGCTAACCTCCAGATTTTTAATGCAATTTTGCTTATTTATAGTTCTATGTACCTTCGATTTTCCCCATTTTGCAAAAAAAAGGTACAATTTAAAATTGACAAATATTTGTTATTTATTAACTCAATACAGTTTTAGCTTTTTTACTTACTTTACCTAGAATTTAGCTAGAATTTAGCAAAGTTTGCTCTGATTGTGTCCCTTAATAATGATAGTAGTGTATTCTTAGGAAGAATAACATTTTGATAAACATTTGTGCAAATATTACTGGGCATAAAAATCAGTAACACGTTATCTTTATTCTACTGATTCTATACTTTCAGAAAATATATGGTTTGAGGGATCATTAACAAACTCTGAAAGCTGTAAGTGAAATAAAAAAAAATAAAAATAAAAATTGCAAAAAAGGTCTGGATTAAGTCTAAAAGTGGAGCACTGGGTCTGGCAACGAAAGTTTTAAAGTATAAAAATGTGAAGACAACCAACCACAAATAAGAGCGCAACTCTACACCAATAAATAAGTAAATATTTAAATAAATATACATATGAGTTGATAAATAATAAATCAATAAATTAATAAATCAATGAATAAATCCACCACCACATATGTGCACATAAAAAATAAATAAGTCCATTAAAAAGTCCATAAACGATCCTTTGGTAAAGGAAATAATGAAATAATGAGATCCTTCTTCACCAGCGTGACATCCAGTGCTCAGAACACCCCATCAAAATGCACACTCACCATGTGCTGGTGATAAACCAGCGTATCTTTAAATATCCAGCAATCCACCACAATGCTCCGGTTTAAAGGAAATCCTCTCATATCCAATTAGTACATGTGAATAAAAAACATTCTCGCCATTGTGCAATATCATCCAACTAATTTATTATGAAGTAGCAAATCCCCCCTTAAAACCGCACTCACAATGAGTATAAAACAATAAAGCATAGATTGTTTAAGAGCCACAGGCTCTGTCTCCTGCGTCTCACCCGCCCACCCTCATCCAAGATGGAGATGGTGCAACACGTCACCTATAGATCCTAACGCGGACTTCTTCTGAGGGACAGCAGTGCATAGAGAGCGCTCTTGACACAACTCCTTCCTGATTAGCCAAATTACTACAGCACCAGGTCACCGATGATCTAATCTATACACCGGACTACCTCATTGCAGCAACGCCATGTACAGATAGCATAACAACAGGGTAATTACAATGCAATAACAATCAGCACAATCACAATCTCAATACATATCAATGCAGGAAGGCTCCTACTATTGGTGATAAAATAGTTCGGAAAAATTTTGGATCCTCCGAAGTCTTTGAAAATGTTTATAGATAGAAAAGGCCTTTTCTCTTGTAAAAAATGCACTACATGTAGTTTGGTTAAATTCAAATTCAAGGGATTGAAAAGTTTTATCTCTAATTCCAATCATAAGGAATTTGAGATTTCCTCTTTTTTGACCTGTGAGTCCACTTATGTGGTGTATGGTTTGGAATGTCCTTGTGGTCTAATATATATTGGGAGGACTAAGAGACAGCTTAAGGTCAGGATATTAATTTGAGGAATATTAGTTACGGCTATAAATACCATAGTGTGTCGTTACATAAAAAACATCATAATTGTGACCCCACGGTTTGAAATTTTGGGCTATTGAATCTATCCCTAAAGCTAAGGGGTTCCAACAGAGTGAGAGAGCTTTCTAAATGTGAAACTAAATGGATCTATTTAACTGAAGCTTTGACTCCTAAGGGATTGAATGTAGAACTGGACTTAAATTGTTTTATTAGTGATGTTTAAGTTTTTTATTTTAACTTTCATTTATTCTTTATTATTTGTTTTATTCATTATTATTTATTGATGCAGAGTAATAATATTATTTGTTTAGAATACATTTAGTATGGTATTGAATAAATAATTATGATTGTGTTGATTGTCATTGCATTGATATGTATTGGCTATCGGGTGACATCATCACGCACGCACGCTGCCCCACGTGTCCGGATCACGTGGTTGCACCATCGCCATCTTGCATGAGGGGGGTGGGTGAGACGCAGGAGACAGAGCCTGTGGCTCTTAAACAATCTATGCTTTATTGCTTTATACTCATTGTGAGTGCGGTTTTAAGGTGGTATTTGCTACTTCATAATAAATTTGTTGGATGATATTGCACAATGGCGAGTATGTTTTTTATTCACATGTACTAAATGGATAGGATTTCCTTTAAACCGGAGCATTGTGGTGGATTGCTGGATATTTAAAGATACGCTGGTTTATCATCAGTACATGGTGAGTGTGCATTTTGATGGGGTTTTCTGAGCACTGCATGTCACATTGGTGAAGAAGGATCTCATTATTTCATTATTTCATTTACCAAAGGATCATTTATGGACTTTTTAATGGACTTATTTATTTTTTATGTGCACATATGTGGTGGTGGATTTATTCATTGATTTATTAATTTATTGATTTATTATTTATCAATTCATATGAATATTTATTTAAATATTTACTTATTTATTGGTGTGGGGTTGCTCTATTATTTGTGGTTGGTTGTCTTCACATTTTTATTATTTACAGTGTACTATTATTATTAATAGCAGCATCCTACCATGTATATTTTGAATTAAAGCACATTGGCGCAATGATGTTGGTTTAATAATGTTTCTGTGACAATTTCTATACTGTCACTGGTGGTGATCAACCTGAAACTTTTAATGTACTGGTATTTTCCCCTTGTCACTCACGTAGTTCCAGTGAAAGCACCCTCTATGGACCCTGTCAATGATATTCAAAAAAAATATTTTTTTTTTGCTTTGTTAAATGCCATGACAGTGCCCAGCTTCGGTGCAGATTCACTCATCCCTAATGTAGACCTTGCTATCTGTAAAGTACTTACTGTAGCTGTACTCACAAATATCTGACATAGATCAGTCCCTTGCAGTCAGGTACTTGTTTACCACACAAGACCAACCACTGGTGTAGCACCAAGGGTCGCAATTGAGACCCAGCCCCATGCTCCAGGAGTCCCATGCGGTTTCACTGTCACTTTCTGTTTTACACTTGGACAGGAGGGGTGGCAGGGGCAACATATACAGAAACCAGTCTTCCCCGTTTTCCTACTGCAACCACTGAAAGCCAGCTTCTCCTTCCCTCCCTCTAACTGCAGTTCAGTAGCTGCAGGAGGAAAATGTACATTATGCATTTAAAATAAAAACAATTTAAATTCTGAACCATTTCATTTTTTTGTGGCCTGCAACTAGTTACCAGATCACTTAAGTGGCCCTCACTCTTCAAAAGGTTCAGCACCCCTGGTATAGGCCTATGATTCCCATGTTTGGACAGTTTGCTTTCCCAAATTTTTAGCAGCTAAAAACAAAACAACCAGAGATCCTGGAGGACTTCTATGACAAAATATGATCAACCAGGATCTCCAGCTGTTTGGTGACAATCTAAAAGTGTTGGGGATTCTGCCAATTAAGATGAGATTAGCAATGTTGTGTTGTGGCTCATCATAAAGGTGGGGAAACATTGTGCAGTGGGTCATCATGGTTGACAATAGATTTACATTGCTGGACAATGTGATTGACACTGGATTTACACTGTGGGACATTCTCTACAGTTTCTCTGACAGAAAAGGACTTTTTCATGGAGT